ATTCTGGTTTTCAAGTACCCCAGCGGGGATAGGGTTAAAGTATTTTTTCTATACCTGTAATTATACTTAAATGGAATACATGCATAATTTCAATTTCCATTTATAGTGTGGCATGTCCGATGTACCTTTGAACCCTTCATTTCTCCATCGTTTCTGAAGCAAGAAATGCGCGAGTCACTTTTGAAGAGAAAACACACATAAAAATATTCAGATTTCAAAATGGGAAACATGGATGTTTAATGCAATACTTGATCAGACAAAGCTTTGAAGGGTATTGTTGTGAATCAGAATATAAAAATTTCTTTTCTTAATTTTTCAGTTTGGGTGAGTGCAATGCGATGCAATGTAGAATGTAGATTGCTTGAGGAAGGGAAATGCAAGCAGATGTAATATTAAAAGAGCCCCCCCCCCCCTCGTACGCCCTGGACTGTACATAAGTTTGTAATGATTAAAACCTCTGACTCTCCTCATTCAGCTTCTCTAATTTTTAAATCATAATAATCTGAAATTAAATTTACAAAATTGTCCCAGCACGGGGAGTACAGTACGGTACAATACAGAATTTTTTAGCAAAAACAAATATTTTTGACAATGGTACAATTGATTAATCTGAAGCAACAGAGCGTAAAATTAAAGCAGAGTTCAAGTTTCCCACGGTCTAGATTCATAGAAAAATGACTTTAACCTTTTCGGTGGGGGGGGGGGGGGACTTTAAACACGTAATTTACTGCAGTTAAAGAAACTTAAATGAAACAAGAAATTCCTGAAAAACATAAAAAAGCTTCTATTTCTAACAAAGAAAAATATTACAGGGACCAGCAATGTTGGAAGTTGAACTGAGAATGTAGTATTGTCGAGAAATTTTTAGGATTCATATGAGTCATATACAACGTTTTAATGATGTATAAAGGACAAGCTTTTTGATTGGGTTTCAAGATGGGTCAGTCCACTATTGACATTTATTGTGCGTAATATACAATATACATAAATGTGTTCTAAGCTATCTTAGTCTTGAGGTCGTCTCTGTTTTCCAAAGTATTATAAAAAATTACTATATGTTAAACCAAGTTTTGGATCAATATAACTTTTTATATTTCACAAGATAAACTATTTTACAACTTTAATACTAAAATACAAATTTTCGGGTTTTAGATCAAAAATATAAAAAAATAGGTTGTTTAGTTTTATCAAATTAAATACATTATACAACTTTGAGGTATGATTATTACTCACCCCCCCCCCCCCCCTCCTCCTCAATTCCTAAGGGGAGGGGTGGGTTGAGGAAGTGTTGTTGAACTCTCCAACCGGAAGTGCTCTCTCTGACCGGAAGTTCAAATCTTCATCTTTAATATCACATGGCATTGCCTGCACCCGTACTTTTTCCTAGACAAAAATAAAATTATGAAAAATTAATTCCTAGCTCGTAAAAATACGTGCTAAACTAGAATTGAAGCTGCAACAAAATTTAGCAAAAAAACTTCTTACTGCGTGGACATCTCTTACGCAGAAATAAGGAATGCGCAAAAAATGCGGAATTTGCGGCGGAACAAAAATTTGCACGCACGATTTTAAATTCTGCTTGAAAAGCCTAAATGAAATATAATAACAAAGTTTCTTGGATTTTTTTTACCTAATTATGAAATTAAGAACCGTTGTCTAATGAGGGGATAATCATATAAAATTTAACATGCAATGTCTTTGAAATTAGGATTTAATTCATCATTGTCTGACAACTGTGACTGTAATTTTTCTTCACAACAGATAAAAAACTAAAAAAAAACTTTCGACATCCACATGTTTTTTTTTTATCAAATTTATCCCTCAAATTTAGATTAAGGTGTATCAAATTAAAAGGTATTTACAATCCTCGGCAAAAATCATTTTCCTCATTAATATGCCTCAGTTTATGTATTTTTGAAAATATGTTTGTTTCGAAGAAAATTATTTCTGTTTTTTAATTAAAGTTTATAAAATTAATGAAATTCTACCAAACTATAAATTTGTTATTCTTAACCCCCCCCCCCCCCTCCCGGGCCCCTTTCATTATTTTCACTAACACTGCACTTTCTTTAGAACATTTTACGAAACTGTTTAAATTCAAATAATTTGCCCACAATAAAAAGTGAAAAAAAACTACAATTAAAGATTTAAATGGAGAATACCAGAGTTCAAAATTTTTTATTCCTTCCTCACAGCCCAAAGGGTTAAGTTAATTCCAATCTAAACTCACTAAAACTGCTCTCGCTGCCAACTTACATTTAACTGTTTTTTTTTTCTGGGCTAAGCACCATCACTTTAGATAAAAATTTCCACTCTGGATATAAAGTTTACACATTGTAGATTCAAGTTCACACATTGTAGATTCAAGTTCACACATTGCAGATTCAAGTTCACACATTGTTGATTAGCGCTATCGCAAACAAAAGTTTTGACCTTCATCTTTTAGGGGTTGTTCCTACCTTAGTTGTTGATCTGACATATGTTGATCTGACTGATGTTGATCTGACATTGAGTTCTCGAATTCTGAATGATCTGAATCTGTTTGCTCAGGGTCCCAGGGGATCTTGTTTATCTTGACCCCGCCGTACTGCAATAAAAACAAATCTCAATACACATTTTGGAGCGATGGCTTAAGGCTTCTAAATGAGGGTTTAAAACTTTTAAAATGAAGAGGAACTTACAATGATGTCGATGTATGTTATGTATGAACAAAACTTTTTTGACTAGCACAATGTAGAATGTTTAAGGGATATTTTCTTATATAAAGGTTAAAAAGGAAGTTAAAGCAATCTTATGTATGCTCCCCCCCCCCTCCCCAATTTTTGTTTCTAAATTACCTCACTACTGATGAGGTCCGATACTAGGTTAGAATGCTCCTCTGCTAAATGCTCTTCAACCTGGAAATAAAAAAGTAATCATTAAATGAGCATTGAGCATTAGTGCAAAGTACGCATATTTAAAGAATTAATCAACGTCAAAGTTTCTAGGCAAATATTAATATTATTATTAATATTCTAAGCAGACAACCCATCATTTAATGAAATTGGGGTCGACGCTCCTCGCCACCGAAGTGTATACGATCTGCTTTGCCCTAGTATTCAAATCATCAAAACTTTCATGTATTGCTTAATTAGAAATTTGGATCTGTTTATATAAAAATTTGGCATTTTAGCCATGGTACCATTTTGACCATCTATCATGTTTAAACTTCCAAACTAACGCATAAGTCTTGAAAGGAAGTACCTATCAAATATCTTAGTACTAAATATTATAAATCAGTTCTTGTAGTGTTAGGTTTGTCAGTTTGTTTGCTTATGACTGAGCCATTTGGCTCCACACTCCACATTTTTGTATACACTAATTACAAGTTACCCTTTTGGAAACTATATTTTTATGTAGATTGGAATACAAGAAATATAAAATTTTAAATTAACCCATAACCGTTGTTGGTTTTTTTTTGTCTGTCAGATTAAAACTTATAACTTATTAACAAGTTTGACCGATTTGCCTTAACATGTGATTAGGGAACTGGATAGAACCAAGGGAATATTCTTAGCTTATACTAAAAATGCTGACATTTAAAGAGAAAAATTAGTTTCCAAGCAAAGCTGGGTTCCCAAATTAGTCAATAACACACACAAAAATCTTGATATGTTCTTATTAATTAGATTAAATCAATTAAATTACTAAGATGGAAAGGAAAAATGTTACTTAAAATTAACATACCTGGTGCACTAGTATAGGGCCCGGGCAATGAGGACACCAGGCCTGGTCCCTGGTGGGTAGGGTAGATTTTATGCTTTCAGGAACATGTTCAAGAAGATGAAGGAACAGACTGGAAAAAATACGAATTTATACAAGAAATATTGAAAGTTTACTTAATTGATTATTGACGTAATTTCAAGTCCCCCCCCTTTAAAGAGTTACATAGTCGATTCCCAATGGTACCCTTTAAAACCATTATCTGAGCAACTAAGAGAACTATGAGAACAAACTTGGAAACCTTCATCATATCTAATCAGACATGGGCCGGGGTTAAAGGGAACCACTGTGAATAGGAAATGTCCCTTTTTTTGCAAGAGCCAATAAATATAAAGTCGATATAATTTCCAAGTTCCTTTAGATACCATGATATTGATGTTATTTATTAATTTAATTATTGTCAATATTAACACACACATGTTAATGTTAACTGGTATTAACATATAAATGTTAAAATTTAAATGTTAACATATAGATGTTGCAGGTCAATGTTATTGTTAATGGATATGTTAACATTATATACTGACATCATTATAACATTATATACTAACAATCATTAACTTTCACGAATAGTTAATGTTAAAGGGAGTGTTCGCGAAAAATGAAATGGGGTATAGGCTTAATGCGATAAAAAACCGCTTTTGATCGCTACTAATCTTACTTCTATCTGTTGCGTCTATAAGGAGAAAATTGTTAAAAACGACTCACACCGAAGAACGCAGCGTCCATACAAATTCAGATAGATGCAACATTCAACTCTGATGGTAAACAAATCAATTTAATTCCAGACAACTCATTCAGATATTACAAACAATAGTCATCGATTATTTTTCGACGCATTCGTAAATAGTTGATATTTCATAATATTTTGTATTTTTCATGATCAACTATTTACGTTAACTGTTAATGTTAATGTTAATGTGATCATTATATACTTACATCATTAACTTTCAATTATAAAATATATCATTTTTGAATAAATAACTTTGTTTTATAAATATATCATTTTTGTTAACATTTGTATGTTAATATTAACATTAATTAAATTAATAAATAACAATCAATGGTCTCATATAATTTAAGAGTACAGTTAAAATTTTATTTACTTTATTACAAAAAAGGGTAAAATTTCAGGGAGAGGTTTGATGTAATTTATTTTTTTATTTTTTTTTAAATTAAAAATTGTAATTTTTGAATAACTGACCTGGTGTTGTCCTTAAACTTCATTAAACAAATCTCGCAAGGTTTCTCTGGGGATAGTTTAGAGTTGGATTTAGTCAGAGAAGGTTTGGTTGGAGTTGATTTAGCGGGAGAGGGTTTGGCCTGAGAGGTTTTGGTTGGAGATGGTTTGGTTGGAGATGGTTTGGTCGGAGATGGTTTGACCGGAGACGCCAATCGACTCTTCTTCTGGTTTCTCTCCACGGACAGATCAATCTTTCTCTTAGAGTCTTCAACCGTAAAGTCATCGGAGAACTTCTTAGGAATAATTTTCCGTCCTGATCTACTCACAACTAAATCAATATCATGAGGAGCACATTCTTCCTCTTCATCCTTCTCCTTTAGGTTATCATCAGGTTCGATCAACTCCTCCGGGCTTACATTTCTCCTATGCTCAATGCTTGTCAAATGACTGGTGAACACTGCTCCGACATTGGTTGAGAAGCAACAAACTGAGCAGCTAAATAAACCGTTTCCTCCGTTATCACCCGTAACTTCCGTTCCTTCAACCTCAAGCGGAACCACAGATTTCCTAGCAACGCTTTTAGTTTCAATTTTCTTCCCAGTTTCAAGATTCTCTTCTTTAGATCTTTTTACACCGACATCGGTTGGATTGCACTTGTGTGAGTTGTATGTACCGGGTCGGATGAAACCTCTACCACAGGTCGTGCAATTATAGGGAAAATCTCTAGTGTGGCAGACTATTACATGATCTTTAAGATGTCCAGGTTTCGTGTAGGCTTTTCTACAATTTCCCTCCTGGCAAATATGTTTCATTTTTTTGTTAGCTGCTGTATCAGGAGTTCTGGGGGACGGACCTGATACAAAATATCATGAAAAAGCAATGGGAAAAAATTATGAAAATATCCAGTAGAATCTGGATTAAATCTACGTTCTTCTCCCCAAATATTACATAAAAATTAAAGAGATCCAGGCGATGTGAAAATAAAAATAAATATTTTAAATTTAAAACTAGTGATTTTGAAACTTACCATTATTTGTTGATCCATCTTTTGGCTTCGTTTTCTTCTTTGATCTTACAATTTTCTTTGAACTCCAACTCTCTTTATGAATTCCGTTGGTGTCGTCTGAGTAGTTAGATTCGTCCGAGTAGTTAGATTCGTCCGAATCATTGTCAACAGACGATTCATTACTACTTAGGGGCTCTTCGTCCGAAGATCTGTCCAAAACTCTTTTGTTAATGTTGAAGTCGTCCTCAGAATCGTATTCGTCTTGAATCAGGAATTTGTCAGAAAGTTTAGTCTTTTTGCCTCCACGGGAATTTGTTTTCTCTAAAATGTATTTAAATTGAGTTGCAGGTTGATAGTCAAATATTTCTCATTGCTTAAGGGTGAACAATATAAAATAAACATTTTTTGTCTTTTAAAAGCCACCTTCAATGCTATTGTGGATCTTCATGTGATTCTTGAGAAGTTCATCATTAGAAAAAACTTCTCCACATTCGTCACACTGCTTCTGAGACCCAATATTTTGCTTCCTAAAAATATTTCATAATAATCTTTTGATCCAAACTGATGCAAATAAAAATTAGTTTAAGTAATTCTCACTGTTTATTACAGAAATTGCATTTCCGTTGAAGAATTTCATTTTACTTTCAGTAAATATAAATGTTAGTTTAAAAAATGTCATTCAAATTGTTATTAACAGCTAAAAAAGAAGAACTTAGCAATTATTGTCAATTTTTATTTTGTTAACAACTAGCTGAAGGGCCCGGCTCGGTGTTGCCCAGGTTACTCATAGTTACTCCCGACGTTTACCCGCGCTTGGTCTTAAATTACGATTTTAGCTATTTTTCCCTGCAATAGTCGATCAACTCAACTTAGAATCTCAAGAACATTCCCATGGTTCTTCCGAATTCCCCAATCAAAATTTGTGGCAAATCGGTCAAGTTAACAAACAAACGAGTTTACAACTTTAAATATACAGAAATGTCAGTGTACAAAATGTTTCAATTCTAAAATTGTATGTTTTGAATGTGTTGTATGACCTGCAGGAATGGTTGTTGTAAAGTTCAAGGGTAGAGAACTCATCCTCACAGCCAATACAGTTCCAGGTTCGAAGACCATTCTCAGGGCTCAACCTTAGCTCAGCCACAGGAGACTCACCCTTCAAAGGATTAATTTAAAGGGACTAACGACGTACTTTTAAGTGTATCTTAATTTAGGAGGAGCCTGGAGCATGCCTGATTCATAAACCTTTGACAATTAAATTTCTCTAGAAAGAAAAATCTTTCTCATTATTGTTGGTCAGATAAATGTTTAGAGGGTACCTGTGTGAATCGAACATTCACTTAAAAATACGTTAACAGTCCCTTTCTCAGGCTAAAGGCGTTATTATTATTATTAACAATCAACCAACACACAAAGTACCATGACCGGAAGGCTTTAATACTATGAAAGATAGGGTTGAGCTCCGCCACTTGCCCTGGTCTATATGGGATCTAGTGAAGCATATCTGACCTGAGCAGGGAACTTTTGAATGATTGATATCGGGATTAATGCTTGATCTACTCTATTTCTTAATCTCGAGATTAAATATTGCTTGTTCTCCTCTTGTTATTAATCTCCAGATTAATTAACCGATCGGGATTAAGGATATCCCATTCTAAAGTTTTCAGCTCTGAGCTGTGAACTTTAGAATGATGGTGGATATCAGGATTAATGCTTAATCCTCTTTTTTTGCCAATCTCGAGACTAACATAATCTCGAGACTAACATAATCTCCAGATTATGTTAGTCTCGAGATCAACAAATTTGATTCTAGGAACGCCAGATTTGTTCGTTTCTTAACTGGAAGGGCCTTCACTTAATTTTTCACACATTTATTTATTAATACATTAGTTGAAATTCGTTAAAAAAGAATCTCAAACGTATTATTAAATATTTTTCTCCACCGATTAACTTACAAAATGGCCGACAACAAATTTTTTATTTGTTATAAATTACGGAGATCTTTCATCGGATAGAAATTATTTTCAAGACTGCCATTGGTCAAAACAATTTATGAACTATATTCCTGCACTATAATTGGAGGAAACAATGTATTGATATCCAAAGAGAGAGAAAAAGAGTGGGTTAAGGACTAGAATTAAAAGTTTCCACAGTGGATATTCGGATTAAGTAGTTGGGATTAAAGGTTATCCATTCTAAAGTTCCCAGCTCTGAATATTTAGAACTCTGTGTGTTTAGCCAGATATGCATGGATACTGAAAAAGTTTAAAAATACCTGGCTTCTGGATATTTTCGGGCATTTCTTAAAGTGAGTTTCTAAAGAGTTCGCCCCCTTAAACTTTCTGAAATTGAAATTTTCCATCAAGAGCTATTAATAAAGGAAACTGAAGAGGACTCCCCCCCCCCCCCCTTAATGCCTTTCATTACAATGTGATGCAAGATGTTTCACTAGACCTACAGAGGATTTAATTTCTTTGTCACATACAGAACACGTATACTTAGGGGCCAAACCTAAATAGTTCAATTCTAGTCAGATATTCAGATGTTCCCCTTCCCCCCTCCCACCCCGGGGGCGGAGAGGGTAATTCTGATAAATGATTCACCCCTGATAAAATTAATCTATGATCAAGCTTAACTATATCAATCAAATAATCAAAGAAACTGAAACTATTTAATTAATCACTTTAAATAAATCTTGTTAAAAACTAATGACTGTCCTATTTTAAATGATACATTAATCTTTTCAGATTAATATGTAATGTCCTCTGTTAGCCAGCTTGTATAAAGTATAAACTAATCAATTTACGCAACCAATCAATCAATATTTAATAATGTTTGATAATATTTTACCTGCATGAAGGAGTGTGTAGTGCTTCTCTAGTGTACGCGGACTTACAAATGTTTTTGTACAGTGCGCGCATGAAACCGGTTTGAGCTGCGTAATATCCGGTGGATGATCAGCTGTAATGTGTTTAGTTAACAGATTCAGATCCGTGTACACAGTTGTACACGTGGCACAAGTGTAGGTCAACCTAACCTCTTGTACAGCTACCTGTACAAAAATACAATTAATGAATTCTATAGTTAATCCATGGTCACAAAACAAATGTAAATATCAGTAATCAATCAACATTTGTGATTGCATTGGATGGAATAACATGGAACACTGAAGAAAAGTATGATAGCATAATAAATTAATAATGTGGTGGTGAATTTGGAGGTTAAACACGTGGATATTTTGTAACATATCTGACCTGATCAGCCGATATATCCCTGAATGGGGAAACTAGCTGATGTTCCCCGTGTGATATTAGGGGAACATGAGCAGCTAGAAGAACCTCTTCATCTACATCTACGCACAGATCAGCTCCAAGCTATGGAAAAACAAAACTTTTATTAAAATATCATTAAAGCACTCCCACGCGGAATAATTGTTAATTAGCTGAGGTAGGGGACGGTGGCTGGTAATTTTATTTATTTATAATATTTATTTAGCAACTTTGAAGTTAAACGTATTTTAATGTTATTATCTTAGCTTTACCATAACTTCAGTTTAATTTGTCCCATTTCATCATTAAAATAAGATGGTTGCTCAAAATTTATTTTGAAAAGTAAAAACTCTTATTTGACACAGTGCTTAGGATCCGGTCCAAGGGGTAAAATATCAATCAAAAACTTAAAACTTAAATCTGAACTGTTAAAAACGAGATTATCAAAAACATTCTTGTCCCTGAATGGTTCAACTTTTAGCATAAAAAAAAGCGAAAAAAAGAAAGAAAATTAATAAGAAAATCTTATCGAAATATTCATGACCTAGATCCATTGTTTCCAGTGCGGATCCAGGATCCAGGATCCAGGATCAAAATAATGGATCCTAAGCACTTAATTTTGACGTTACCTTAGACGGGCTGAGTGCATCAAAGAGTGCTTGATGGTTCTCTCTTGTATGCTCGTTCAGTTCATCGACAGAGCATAGTTCAGTAGAGCAGAATTGACAGGGGTAGCTGCTGCTCTCTACTATACTGTAATACAAGTAGATATAGAGCAGTAGAGCATAGTTTACTATAGCAGAATTAACATGAGTAGCTTCTTTCTACTATAATGTAATACAAGTAGATATAAGAGCAGTAGAGCACAGTTCAGTAGAGCAGAATTGACAAGAGTAGCTGCTTTCTATTATACTGTAATACAAGTAGATATAAGTAGAGCATAGTTCAGTAGAGCAAAATTGACAGGGGTAGCTGCTGCTCTCTACTTTACTGTAATACAAGTAGATATACGAGCAGTAAACGAATAGTTTAGTAGAGCAGAATTGACAAGAGTAGCTACTTTCTACTAAAATGTAATACAAGTAGATATAAGAGCAGTAGAGCATAGTTCACTAGAGCAGAATTGACAAGAGTAGCTGCTTTCTACTATAATGTAATACAAGTAGATATAAGAGCAGTAGAGCAGAATTAACAAGAGTAGCTGCTTTCTATTATACTGTAATACAAGTAGATATACGTACAGCATTGTTCAGTAGAGCAGAATTAATAAGAGTAGCTGCTTTCTATTATACTGTAATACAAGTAGATATAAGTAGAGCATAGTTCAGTAGAGCAGAACAAGAGTAGCTGCTTTCTACTATACAGTAATACAAGTAGATATAAGTAGAGCATAGTTCAGTAGAGCAGAACAAGAGTAGCTGCTTTCTACTATACTGTAATACAAGTAGATATAAGAGCAGTAGAGCACAGTTCAGTAGAGCAGAATTGACAGGGGTAGCTGCTCTCTACTATATAATAGTGGTAGAATATAATAGCTGACTAACTATAAGAATGAACTGTACTGTACTGTACTGTACTGTACTGTACCTGATCTCGAAGTCTGGACTATCTATAGTAGCTGTAATGCTCCCATGTACACCCAGTACATGAATATTTAGAACCTGTTCACTACTGAATACTCGGGAACATAGTTCGCATCTGAACGCAAACAAATCTGAAAACCTAGAAACAGAACGAGTACGAAACAAAAAAGTTTGTTTGAAATCAAAATATAATATTCATCTTACAATAATTACATTTATTTTGAATAAAAAGTGGGATTATAAATCAATTACAAGAACTACTAAGACCGTTGGAGAGTAAGGAATAACATTATCAGAAAAAAATGTTAAAGAGACTGTAAGACTGATTTCAAGTGACTCTCTCCATGCAAAGATGCCAATGCCTGATTCACAACGATACCCTTAAAAGCTTTGTCTCATAAAGTAAGAATTAGATATTCATGTTTTTCTTTATATTAAATGTTAATTTTCATTTCAGGGTTCTCTGCAAAATTTTGTTGCGCATTACTTTCTTATCAGGAACATGGAGAAGTTATCCGAATTAAGCTTATAGTCCCTTTAAATAATTTTTATTCAACGCTTTTTTGTATGTTTTTTACCTGTGTTTCTGTTTTGGTAGTTTGACCGGTGTGCTACCAGCTCGGCTTATACTAGCGACTGCATCTCTTACCTCCTTACTCTAATATTTTAAGTGTTTTTAATCTTTGTTCACGTGCTTCAACAGTTTCTCTGATATTTTACGGATAAATATTTTCCAAAGGGTTAAAAAACAAATTGGCGAAACACAACATTGGTTGAAAATCGCAGAAGATACGACAAAGGTATTACTATTTAGTCTTTTCCACAAACTTTATCTCTGCAACCCAATGATTTCAAACTGTCAATTCTCTTAGATCAAATAATCTAACTTTACAATATCAAAGGTTTACACCATCAGGTTTCAAAGATATGGATTAAAAAATCAGGGCCTGGGACAAAAGACTCAATTCCTTTTATATAATATGAATTTTGGAATGAATCTAATAGTTTTTATTAAGCAACTACTCCGCCCCCCCCCCCGCCCTCCCTGGAACCACTGTCTATTTGTAGTAACCTGATATGTAGAAACCACAATGTTTGCTTCATGAGTTTGCATGTGCTTCTTAAATTCTATCTGTGACATAAATACTTCTCCACATTGTGCACATGAAGGATGCGAGGATATATGGAGTTGGGATGTGTCCGCGTTCAGAGATCTTAAATTCAATATTATCATGAGGTTTATCTGATCATTCATATTTACAGGGCGTTCTAAAAAACATAATTGCAAGTGACCCTCCGTAGATAAATTGGCAAGTCCAATTCACAACAGTATCCTTAAAGTTTTGTTTGGACAAGCATGAATTTGAATTCCATATTTTGTTTTTTAAAAATGATTTCATTTTTGGTTTTTCGGAAAATGTGACTTATGCATTTCTCACTCAACAATGGCAAAATTGACAGCATTAAAGGGACTGTAAATGAAAAATGAAAGGGGGTATAGGCTGAAACCTAGGTTACTCAGGAGTTGATTGAAGCCCTTGCGAGTTCTATCTGATGTTTCTGTCTCGAGAAATTGATAAAAACTGTTTCAAATTTATATCAAATTCTCGAAACAGGAACATCAGATATATCTTTCATGAGTCTCGAATCAACTCTTAAGATGCTTAGGTTTCTTCCTATACACCCCTTTCATTTTTCCTTCACAGTCCCTTCAAGGTTTCAAGGATACCGTTGTGAATCGGGCATACCCCTCGACCCCGTCAATGGAGGGTCATTAAAACTAACCACAAACATTTTGTTGAGAAGAAGAGAAAGGAAAACAGGATAGAGGTTTTGTTTACCTAATATTACAGATAGGACAGGATGGATGAGAAGAAAGGAAAACAGGATAGAGGTTTTGTTTACCTAATATTACAGATAGGACAGGATGGATGAGAAGAAAGGAAAACAGGATAGAGGTTTTGTTTACCTAATATTACAGATAGGACAGGATGGATGAGAAGAAAGGAAAACAGGATAGAGGTTT